AAATAAAATAAATAAATAAAATAAATAAATAAATACAATCAAATTACTATTCAGTAGTAACTCAAATCTGTATTTACAACCAAAAGAGTGCAACTAAATTTTGGGGTTAGTAGTTAATTGCAATAAAATGTAACTTTAAAACTGTCCAAATTACTTATTTAGGTCTTATATAGTGAATTGTATTACATTACCAAGTGCTACATTACTGCAGACAATTAATTATATAGTAAAATTGTACCCTAATTACCACGTAATTACATGGTAATAAGGTAGTAGTTACATTTAATTACATTTTTATTACCTTGTAATTACATGGTAATAATGGTACTGTAAAAGAAAGTGTTACCCTGCTTTTCCAGGTGAAGAGCTCCAAAACACACAATTCCACTGACTGTCTTCAAAGCTTTGGTTAAATGTCGTGGACCACAATAGAGATCACATTACAGGAGCTGTGGTAACCAGGGAAAAATTACTGCAAAAGCATTTTTTGTAATTATAAAAAAGCACTAAAGCAAAGATTTGCATGTTCATTCACTGCAGCTGTGGACAGCTGTGGATGTGAGCGTGTTTATCTGGGTGCAGCAGGCTTCGGTTTCTCTGAGTTACAGCACGAGAGGCAGACTTGGCGCTCCAAGATACTCCCAGAGCACCAGCAATTAATGATGACAATTTAAATTTTGATGCGCTGGGCATTGCCCAGGCACCCGGGGCTAGACAAGTTGAGGAAGTCACCTATCTAATAGATGCCACACGATATTAATGTGAAAAGGTACGCTGCCTCCAACCTGGYAGCCACAGGAAATCAATCACCTCACAAACATCGCTTTCTTCTGACAAATATACTCTCAGAGGCCAGGTAGCACAGCTAATGGCCTCCAAAGTATTTCTGTCAAAGACACAGCGCCTATTAATTATTCAGTCACCTGTGCTGCGGTGCAACCTTACAATATTTACAATGCTGCGGGACGCTGCTCTCCCACCGGTTTGCCGTCCCCGTGGTGGTGAGCTGCTTTTGCATGAGCCATAATTCCATCTGCTCCACTTCTGCTGAGAGAGGGAAGGAGAYGAGCTGCTTTCATCCCTTATCAAGGAACATGCCGGTCTCCTGAGGAGCATGAGAGTAAACACGACGGAAGGCTGATGAAGGGTTTGTATTGTCTTTAAGACATTAACGAGCCAGGTAGGACTTCATCATTACGATGTAGCCGAGGAAGAAAATGAGAAAAAGTGGTCACAAAGCATAATAGCTGAGCGTGTGTGAACAATAAAGCATTGCTAGGTGGAGAAAAAGAAATCAGGTTTTTAATTCTGAATTGTTGAAGAGGTTCTGACCCAGGAGAGTGATGGCACACAATGACACACAAAGAGCACAATGGTCACAAATCCAACTGTTACCAGACAACCACCAGCCACCGCGCTCTTATAGAGTTAACCCCCCATCCCCGTCTTTATTTTTTTATTTCTGCCCACACAAGGAGGATGAGGGGTTGGTTCAGAAGGAGGAGAAGAGGAAGCAAAGGAAAGATTGAAGATGCATTCAGGTGCGTGTGGGAAATGTAGTAAAAATTAGCTTCCCTCTGAAACAAAAATRGAAACAAACAACTGGAAATATAACCAAACAGAAAGATATTCAAGTGCAGTTTTTTTTTTCAAACACATGGAATGTGATCAGGCACCGCCATCCAGCACTCACAGATAAAACCATAAAATAAAGGTTGTCATTGCAAATTCATGAAGGCTGATCAAAAAAATATATATGTAAAAAAAAAATCAAGGCAATATTTTTCTCATATTGATGATTAATGTTCCCTTCAATTAAAAAAATGTAAACAAACTTCCAACTGCAAAGATTAATAATTTACCAACAGAAAAAACAGGTTGAAAATAGGTCAAACTGTAAACATGCTGGTGTAGCAAAGATTTCATGTGCAAGATTGGACGTGACTTTCAGCAGATTCAAAAGAATGCTTTGTTTACATCAAGTGCATACCAGCATTTCCGACCTTTTGTGTGCATATATATATACTGTATGTATGTATGTATGTATGTATGTATGTATGTATGTATGTATGTATGTATGTA